GGAAGGAGCCTCAATGAGCTGGTTAAAAAACGCCAGCGTGAGGTCCTTTGCGATGTTGGGACATCGAAACCTCGTCCTGTTCGACTCTTTGTGCGGCAGGGCCATAATAGCCCTCGAGCGGTTCAACAGCCAGGACGGAACCTGCCCAAGTCTTGACGACGGTTGTTTTCCTGCCGCCATGAAGCAAATTTGAACAGGACCTGGCAAACATGTTGTGGGCCTACTCTCACCTGGGCAACTGGCCATGAAAGTCTTCGCTGGCGTCGTGCCCTCTTTATTTTCGACAAGACCAGTGCGAGAAGGTTCAAGACAAGCACAAAGCAGAGTTGTCCAACAAAGGCCTAGTATGCAAGAAGTAGTGAATTCTAATGCTTGCGTTGGCGCTCTCTGATATTGACAGCCCCTAGACTCCCACCAGGCCGCGCAAGGCCACTAAAACGCTCAATTGCTACGAGCGTGAGTGGCGATACTTCTCATCACATTCCGGTTTGTGTAGTGAGAGGCAATCTTCTGCTGCTCATACTTTGCACATGACCTTCTTTGTAGCACGTGCAATATCAGTACAACATCTCTTGCAAGTGCACGGCGACCAAGTTCGCAGGCATTCGAGCACCAGCGCTCTTCGCAGCGAGCGAAGAGCGGGTGAAAGCAACTATTTCAAGGCCCAGTCTTCAGGACCAGGGGTGTCTGTCCCTTCATGTCGGCCTTGTGTTTCGTAGCGTCGAGGCTTGTTGTATCCGGTTGTCCACGAGTCGGATGACTGAGCATGACTTCTCGAGGAGCTTTCCAATATTGCCTGGGCATACGAAAACGCCGGCATGATGAGCTCCGCTCTTCTGCTGGCTATTGAGTGCGAGTTCGCAAAGAGGCTGCCGACATACACGAGACCGAGCGGACAGTTCCTGGCAAATCTTGGCGCACCGTGAGCTTTACCAGGTTGCTTCTGGGACCTGGCAAAGCGCCCCCTGCGCAGCGTGCCCGTGATGTGAAAGCGCTCTTGAGACAGTTGAGGCCGTGCGACGGAGACGCTGTCCGAGTCAGTCCTAGTCCCAAGTCAACAATGCACTAGTCGCTAACAACAGTTTCGCAGTTTGCTTGGCTCGCGAAAAAACAGGACTCCGGGCTTGAGGGCCCAGGTTCAGTGGCCCCTATGGTCCAGGGTGAGATGAATCAACAGGGATGGGTCAGAGGATCTTTTGCTCTCACTGAGATGGGCATAGATGGGCGATGCAATCAAGCTTCGAACAGCAGTTTCCGTGGTATCCCCAGCTGTTGCCATTTCATCTCTTGCAGGTCGACAGGTCGTCTGCGGCATGACATTACAAAGAGAGCAAAAGCGGAGCTTCAGCAGATACTCGGTTGCATTCTTCGTGCAGCATCCTTTCTGAGCGAGCCTGGAAGACGAAGCGGATCAGGCTTGGGAAAATGCAGGATGCGGTCATGCCTGTTGAGTGCTCGCGCGGACGTGCCTTGATGATGTTAGGCAGCAGCATAGCTGGAAACAACAGTCACAATCGCGTGGATTGAAAGATCGCCTCGATGTCAGGAGGCCCCGTCGTCGGCGCTGAGCTTCCGCGTTCCGTCCTGAGACCATGAGGTTTATTGATTTGTATCTGCGCCTGTGGATATCGTCACTCCTGTCCGAGTTACGTTGCTTAACACCCTAGTCACTAACTCCCCCTGGTCCTTTAAGTATGGTCTTGCTGGCTTATACGAGCTGTGTTGTACAGGGGCCCTTGTACATTAAATGTGGAATCCTTATGATCCAACAATATCACCAAAGCTAGCTCTTAGGAGCTTGCGGGAGCTGTCGTTTACAAACTTCCCCTCTAGTGTTCAGGTGGGTCAACAAGCGACCCGTGGCCGAAAGTGTTATGAAAATCAATTAGTCGGGGCGGCTAGGGTGCCACCCCCCCCTCACCTGAAAGATTGATTTTAGCAATCTTTAGGTGTGCCCTCCCCACCCCGCCATGCGTTAATCAGTTTCTTGGCAGGAGGAAGGGGGACCCCCTTCCCCCCTTTTTTTGGTGAAATGGTGTGAAACCGTAGGGGGGAGTACAGGATGTGAGGTGTGGGGTTAGCACCTGCTTGCTGCTGTTCCGGCCGTGCTCTAGCATTCCTAGCCCAGTTTCAGTTGTACTGACAGCCATAGCAAGACATCATACTATGGTAAGCCTTGGTATCATGAATTAGTGATGTATTACTGGTATTAGTATTATTGTTCTTCTTCTTATTTCCATTGTTATTCTTTTTGCTACAATACTGTTATTGTAATTTTACTATTCGTCGTCGTCGTCGTAGTAGTAGTAGTAGTAGTAGGAGTAGTAGGAGTAGGAGTAGTAGGAGTAGCAGTAGTAGCAGTAGTAGCAGTAGTAGCAGTAGCAGTAGCAGTAGCAGTAGTAGTAGTAGTAGTAGCAGCAGCAGCAGGCCCGTATAGTCCCCATATAATAGTATAATTATACCACCATGCCCATGCCCCCAACCCTCAACATGCAGTCGCAGTCTGTCCTCAGGCTTCGAATTGGATCTCTCAGATCGCTCGGATACTTGGTATGATTCGCGCAGCTTCGGTACACTCACATGTGCGAGGCGCAACCGTAAATGGCAGTTAGGTTCTGCTTTTGAGGTCCTCTACAAGCCCCCTGGCTGGGAGGTGCAGACTTCCGGGGAGCTTGGGCACCAGCAGCTCTCAGCCAGTCCCTCAAAGAAGGGCGTGAGTCGGGACGATCGGGGAAGGGGTGCATAGGGGTGCAACCGATGCGAAACAGCTGAGGCTTTTGTGCAATGGACTGTGCCGCAGAAGCGCCCCATTCTGCACGATGGGTACAGTTCTTATGGCTTCCTGCACCGTTTGGATGTGGCTCGGAAAGCACCGTCCAGATGCTCGGTCACTTTCCCGCTGTTCTAGAGGTCCTGCCCTGCGGAGGGTGCGAGTTGTTACTCGATTCTACGCACAACATCGCACAACCCTTTGATCTTTGACTTATCCACAGGGTGATTTCAAAGGCCGAACACCCCGTAATTGACTCCTAAAGTCCTAAAGTTGGTCGCCTGCTCTCGCTCGCTCTCTGCCTTTATCTTTCTCTTTCTCTTTATTTTTATCTGTATTTATATCTTTGTTTAAATCTTTATTTTTATTTTTTTTCTCTTTCTCTTTCTCTTTCTTTGTCGCTTTCACTTTCTCCTTTCTCCTTCTCTTTCTCTTTCTCTTTCTCTTTCTCTTTCTCTTCATCTTTCTGTTTCTCTCTCTCTCTCTCTGTCTCTCCCTTCCTCTCTCTTCCTCTCTCTTTCGCTCTCTCTTCCTTTCCTTCCTCTCTCTCTCTCTCTCTTTCTGTCTCCTCGCTCTCGCTCTCTCTTGCACTCGCTCACGCACGAACTCTCACTCCCAGTCGGATTCTCCCTCAGGTGTGAGAGAAGTGAATCTTGGGGACCATTCGCTTGGTTTTGACCCCTTGGCTGTTTGCGTTTTCTTGAGCAAGGGTTTTTAAACGGTTTTTTGAGAAACTGCATGATAGCTTTTGCCCGGCCTGTCCGATAACATCTCGATTCATGCATCGTAAGGTTGCCACATCTGGCTTGGTTCTGCATGCGAAGAGCTATGTGGCCTACCACGACCTAGCAGCCGGGTTGCATGTTTTGCCATCATTTGTCTTCTCAGAGGGGCCTGAAAAGCCCAACTTCGGGCCGAAGGCCTCAAAAGTACTTGCGGCAACTCGTGGCTGATCTGCGAGTGCCTTCGCAATCAAGGACTTGCAGCTCCTGCGGCGCGAGATTGATCGGGAGTACCTAGTCCTAGTGCATGGTCTGGTCTCACCTGCTCGCACCTCCCTGCGCCTACCGGTCTACGTGGGAAAGGTTGCATGGCACTTTTAGCTGCATCTCAGTGAGAAATAGCTCATGTGCGTGGAGCAGAGTGTCGAGGATTCGGAAAGCCGCCCAAGCCAAGTGGCAGTGCCTGGTGCACGATACAGCCTCAGCCACATGAAGGCCGGAGCCTCGAAACTTGATTTCGATGAACAAAGAGGCGAACAGTACCCCTTGCGCCAGGTTCTTGCCCATCTCGGGCCACAGCAGTCCACCAGTCTGCTGACGATGAAGATCGATACTGGAAGGCGCACCTCTGCGGCAAGGAGCTGGGATGTGGGATTGCTATGGCCCAGTGGCTGCCAACAGCGTCGCGGGGCTGATGCTAGACTGACGAACAAGGACATCAAATCCGAGCCCAGACATCGCACATGGGCCATGCGGTACTGTGTGACTGGCTCTACACTGCGGAGCCCACATATGCCACGGACAAGGCGGCTCCTCATACGCCGGGTTGAAGCTTTACCGTATTTGTTGCTGCCAGTTGGTTTCTGTTTGACATTCAGAGGAGTGGTGCAGCCGAACGTTCCTGCACCGTCATCGTCTGGCTTTCAAAGACAAAGATGGAAAGCAGCACGATGTGCTCTATCCTCAGTCGGCAATGCCGCAGTGATTTCTGGTGAATCTGAGTTGCGCCCATCACTCAGGACACTTGGGCTGCCAGAAGACCTGCGCAAAGCCCTTGCATCCTTCGCTGCGAGCCTTGTTGCATTGCCTCGGCTTCAGTCATGCAGGATGTCTTGTAGCTTGCAAGAACCGGTCAAACTTAGGAAAGACGACGTGTCGAGGCTTGCCGTGCAGCACTTGCCCATGCGGACTTTTGCAGACTACCCAGTGCTTTCCAAAGCTGACTGCACGTGGTAGCTGTAGCTAACGCCAGGCTCGAGTAGCCGACAAAGGCGTCTGCACCCGCTGCTTGGTGAAATTGCCGGGCAAGGTGTGGACCGTGTACATAGACTAATCGAGCCTGAACTTGTGCTTGATGCCATGGATTAACATAGCACGCGACGGCTTTGACAGTGTGATAGCCAAGTTCTTGCCGAAGCACGCAACACTTTATACAATGCCCCGCAATGCTCGGCACAAAGATGGTGTTTGCAATGCCCTTGCCAGTAGCTTCGAGCTGAAGGCATGAGATGCGGAGGCACCTCCAGGACCTGGAATGTCTGAGTTTTCATTCAGATGCTGGATTTTCGGCGAGAGCTCGGGGACAATTGCTGTGTGCCGACATGCCCGGACAGCAGAGGAGACATGAAGCCTCATCCTTCTTGTTTGGAGGCGACGACGATCCATTCAGTCAAAAGATAAAACCTTGGAATTCGAAGTGTCCAAAGTGGATGCCAGGCTATGGCACACGAACTCATGGGTTCTGCCGGAAACTGAAGCCACTGAAGAAAACATGGTTTCCGCCGGAAGAACCGGAACCTGTGCCAGAGCCATCGGATCAGCCCGAACAGCCACCGGGACCACCGGGACCACCCAGACCAAGAAATAGATCCCCACCTCCTCGAAGACGTTCCCCTGCAGCGCGCAGGGCAGCAGGAGCAGCAGGGGGTGCGGCGGCAGCAGCTGTGCACGGAGCTTCCAGGCAGTCCTCAAAGTCGGCCTGGGAGAAGCCGGCGGCTGAAGCCCGACACGACCAGATGAAGGCAAGCACGGAGAAGCCGGAAGTCCCCTTCACAGCCCCGGCAACGCCTCGGCGAAGGCGCGTGCCCAGACGTCCGGCTCGAGATCCTCCGATTCCGCCAGGAGAGCTGGAGAATGATTTCGCCCCAGCTCCAGCACCTTCCAATCGACCGAAGCCCAAGAAGAGCCCATTCCCAGAAGAGGAGCCCTTCGAGCCTAAGCCAGGAATTATCGTTGAGCTCCCGACGAAACCCAAGGCCCCATCTCAGGATCAAGTTGGCACCTTCGAAGATGACGACGTAGCGAACGAGGAGAAATTGCTTCCTCCAGAGGCGAAGAGAATTATCAGGTCTGAGCTCAGCAAAAAGGCGATTGAGGCTGCTTACGAGAAGGAGGAGCGAGACTCGCTGCCCAAAGAAATCCCAGGCACGACTCCACAGGGGCCTTTCTGGCCTCCTCCCAGCACTGCACCTCCTGTCCAGCCAATTCCGCCTCGCCCAGGTGAGGCAAATTACAACTATGGTTGGGTGCCACCGGAGGAAAGGACGCCCTACAGCCCACCCTGGCCAGGAGGCGGCCCGGAGGTAGCGGTGGACCGTACAGAGGCCGTGGTCGAGGAGATCAACGACGATGCAAATGCTGTCATTAAGACTGCAGAGGACGCCGTTGTGAACACGGCCAGGACTACAGAAAATACCTTTGCGAACACGACCGTCTAAATAAGTCGTCCGAAACAAAGAAGCTTCACAACGCGTCCTCCCACCTCCTGCAGAAGCCGAACAAGTCCACACGTCCTCCAGTGAGGCCACCACAGACCGGACTGAAGAACCAGGCTGCCACATCGCAAGCTTCTGATGGCCGCTACCGCGTGGCGATCGACGCAGCAGCACCATCTGCTGGATGTGAACGAAGTTCTGCTGCGAGCCTGCCCGGAGCAGGAAGAACTCAGGAAAGTGGAAGTGGGGAAAGTGCGACTGAGTGAAGCCAATCCCATCAAGCCAGTCTCGGAGTTTCCCCCAACCACGTTTGCTCCGTCCGACCGGTTGGCTCCGTAGGTTGAAGCACAGCTTCCCTTGCAGCCAAGCTTAGCAGATTGCAACCCTACCCACCCACAAACAGGTGACCAACACCTTTTCCGCTCAATCCGTGTGATCGTGGAATATGCAGCGTGACTCAGATTTAGACATGGGGCCGATACATTGCCGACCCGCAGCTACAGATCTTTGCTACAAAACCTTCCTGTCTTGTACTCCGAATGCGAAGGTGACTAAGAAGCATCACAAGTAGCAATGTCCAGAATTCGGCCATAAGCCATTTTGCTCCGGGATGCCGCCCAAGAGTGCCCTGGTCCTGCATGACGATTCATGACGATAGCTGATGAGGTTTGTGGGAAGCATGTGTCGTCCATTAAAAAGGTTCTTGAACCTAATTGTTTGAAGACAGTCCGTTGCATCCGAGGTGCTGTGCCGAAGTACACCATACGGGTTGGCCTTATATGGCTGGTGCCGTCCATTAGCTTGCTGTTAGGTTGTTTTCACCTTATCCCGCTGCTGCTGGCGGCCCTGCTGACCCCCTTAGAGGTGCCAAAGGCGGGAGATGGTGGATGACGCACAATGCATCATGTCAGACGCAGCTCCTTCTTGCTGGATCAGATCCGCGCCAAGCTCTTCGGCAATCGAGCCAAGAAGCTACTGCCGTGCTTGCGGGTGCCGGAGCTCAGATAGATCTGCCACCGGCCTCCTTTTGAGTGCGCCCGCCACAGCCAAGGTGCCGGCCTTGCTACGCCTTTCGGTTTTGTGGCTGCTGCAGGCATGCAGGGGGCCGTCATGCACACAGTGGCAGCAGCTGGATGAGACGGGAGACATAAGATGTGCATGTTGGCCCCCCCTGTGCCGTGAGGTTTGGTTCATCATCCTCTGGAGAGCGAGCAGCGCAGAGGTTTCGGACGCTGGAGCGGCTGCAATGGGTGTCATCGGCCCTGTGCTCAATCGACAGGGGTTACGTAGAGCGTCGCAAGGGAAGCCTTTCGTTCTGTACGAGTGACGATTCTTGCAGCAAGCTGACGAATCCGAGGTGACAGCATTGCCAACTTAGCCACCGATGAGGTGTTGCAGCGGATATCCGTCGTACTGCCATGCGCTGGCGAGGAGCGGATCTCAGTCACTTTACAGTCTACCGATCGCCAAATCTTATGTTTGCTGTCCGATTGTCAAAAAGACAGCGGCTCAGGGACAGTATGCCTTGAACACCGTTCGGGCGGTCTACGAGTCCTTGCCCGCAAACATCTTGCATGAGATCATCGTTGTCGATGATGGATCAGAGCCACCACTGGCAGAGTCTTTCTTGACTCGAGATGTGGTCAATGTCTACAAGGTCACCATCATACGCCATGTCTGGGCCTCCGACTGATGCCTTTGCTACTTGCTGCAACTCAGTGTCGGTCATATGGAGTCGCTGCTCTGGGAGCTCTAGGCCCAAACAGTTGGTCTCATTGGTGCAAAGAAGGACTGGCGGCAGTCGTGATGTGGTCACGGCTGAGAATCAGCATTGCTACACTGAGCCTTCCACACTTCTCGGACACGAGGATGGTGGTGATGCCGCAACCGGTGACATTGCTCTGGCCCCAGCATTTCGCTTGGAGGATGAAACAAGGGAATCTTCGACTTAGGTGGTGTTTTTCGATTGCCACGTCGCTCCCCAGCCCGGTTGGCACGAGTCCTTCCTCAGGCTCGAACATGCAGATGTGAGTGCGTGCAGACTCTATAGACTCTAGACCCAAGCCTATCGACTTCTTGAAGGAAGTGGTGTTGGGAGTGTTCCGGACATGCTAACACTGACACAAGTGACTTAGGAAACCTGAGTCAGCAAAGTCAGGCTGAAATGCGCAGGTGTCTTGTCTGTGCCGCATCTGCGCAGGCTGATCGGCGAGAATTACCGCCGAATAGTGACGCCTGTGATAACGGACCTTGATGTCGGGACCGGCTGCTGACGGTCTTGCACCCTACTTGGAGAAGCGAGAAGTTGTCATTGTGATTGTAGGACCTGGCAGCAGAGAGGCGGCAACCAGGGGCAGGCTGTATCTTCAGTGCAATGGAAGAAGCGGCTCTTTCTGAAACATGTCTGTGCGAAGGCCAAGTGCTACTTGACCTGGGATGCAGATTTCAAGTGGTTCACATCCGACGATCCGTTAGAAGCTGAGCAGTGCATTTCAAGGCCTTCGCAATCGGGGATTCAAGCGTGTCTTTGAGGTATGTGCCTATCCTCTCTGGTGGGCTCTTGGGCATCAGCAAGAGATGGTGGAATGAAACAGGAGGCTGGAAGGGCAGTCTCAGAACTTGGAGCTCTTGTAGCTTGCGTTCACACAGCAAGGCTACGATGTCGAGATGGTCGGATGGGGCGGAGAGAACCTCGACCAGTCCCTCAGGACCGACGAGTGTCTTCCTGCCTTCTTGCAGCGGTCGGCATATGCACGCCTGTAGGAGTTGGCTCTGTGGCGGTGAGATCATGATGGCACAGGCAGGATCCTCACGAAAGATGCCACATGCGAAACGCTCCAGCTTCTCCCTCTTGCTTGTGACAGGACTCGTTCGTTGCCCACATGTGGCGCTCGTCCAGGGATACTCGAACCAAGGCCCACTACAAAGTCCAACCAGGCAGGAATCAATAAGCACGAGCTTTACTGTTTTCTGTCACAGAGAGCATGCGAGAAAGTGGTTGTCAGCCCCCTCTCCTGTGTGTCGGTTGTCATCGTCACCGTCGGAGTAGCTGTGGACTCGAAGAGTCTCTGCAAGCTACCTGCGCCTCAAGGTTGTCAGCTGAAGCTGCGCGTGTGGCGGAAGTCGAGACTGCCTTGTCTCTGCTCCAGCGTTTGCAGAGTCTATTGCGAATCACTTGTGAGCCTTGGCTTGCGCTTCCCGCTGAATGGCCCAGTTGTTTTTCGTCCTCATCCCCGTCCATGTCGTCGCCGTGGTTTTCGGTAGCCGGTAGCAGTCGCAGCGGCAGTGGTGCCGCAAGATTTTTGAAAGATACAACCAAAATCGTCGCATCCGCGGTTGCGCCATAGCTGCATCCAGTCGTCGACACTATCGGTCTTTGAAAGCACGGAGACCAAGCATGGCATCGTAGCATGTCGGAGTGCTAGTTCTTTGGTGCGTTGAGAGCGCAGGCGCCGCTGCACGGAACAGACTGCGAGCTGCTGTGGCTTGGCGGAAACCTCAGCACTACAGTGGCCCCTCCTCGTGAAGAGCTTTCTATCTGCGTCCGCTATACCTATTAAGTTTGAAAGAAGGTTCGGCGACTTCTCTCAGAAGCTCTCGTCCTTCCCGGGCTTGCAGTACGAGAGAAGAAATGCAGACGGCACACCATGGTGACCTTTTGCAAACACCAGGCATGGGTGGTGCTTGACACTGTTCGACGCAGGTACGGGAACCTGGATAACATCCTGGAGGTGAAAACTCGCCTAGGGTGCTTGTCTCAAATCATTAGTGAAGCCTGCTGCCTGTACTTGCGAGTCTATAGGTGTAAGTCCTTCGCCTGGTTCATGAACCGCTTCAAGCACGTCTACGAGGAGCTTGGGGACTTAAGAAGGAGTCACTCATTGCACCGTCAAATCGGTCAGGACGGAGGACTGATCCCAGCAGAGACCTTCCGCATCGAGCGTGACGGCGGCACGCGCCCCAGCTCTTTCCCTAAAGAGCCCGGCCTTGGCTGAAAAGCGACAGTTTCTGCTCCGAAGGTCGGTGCCTGACCTACGAGGGCGGTGCTGGGCCGAGGGCTCAGATCAAGCAAGGAAGATTCCGTTTTCATGCTGCGTGGCTTTGCACTCAGGACGAGCCCAGATGGCAAGGGCACTGCGGTGAAGGACTCAGCCTTGCAGAACTACAGCGAAGTATAGTCTGGTCCAAGAATTTTGCTGTGCCATGCTACGTGGTGCCTCACACCCTACAGCCGCTATCAGGTGCTTCGGCCATGCTCCCCAGGCGACGAACGCCAGCGCTGGCATGGGGCCAACAAGGAGCTCTTTGTGGATCCGTCTTTCTCTTCCATTGCCGACTTGGATCACAGGACCTGAGCCAGTCTGGAAAGTCGTCCGGGGCCTGGCAGAGTTTCGTTCTGGGTGCCGGCAAAGCAAGTAGCCTCTCTGAGTTATGAGTCGGCACGAGTTCCAATGTGCGTAGTAATGCGTAGCGGCATAGCATTTACGTATCAGATGGTCCTTTGTCTTGTTGAAAATCCTGGGCTTTGAAGTTCGAGCGCCAACCGCGGCCCTTACAAGTCTTCCCCGCTCGCAAGTCGAGGTGTTGTAGCGGTCTGCGGGCCTGGAACACAGACCAGTGCATAAATGGAGTGTTCTCGGCATGCTTCCGAAATGTCGCAACACAAGGAGCTGGATTTGGTGTCTAGTGCTTTGCCAGGCATCCGGTGGGAAGGTCACCACCTTCGTCTGCGACATCTCCGGGAAATTGCTTCAACAGGTCGCTGGCTGTGACGTTGACCAAGCCTTCCTTTCCGTCCTTTGCTGCACGGAGGCTTGGCGTTTTGACCCTTCCGGACAGCTGCAGAAGCAAGGGAGAGGCTCTGAAGCCGAAGGCTGCAGCGTCAAGAATTACTGACCGGTTTTGCAGGGGGCTTCATGCAAAGCACGGAGTGTATAGTGACCACACCCGACGAGCAGCTGGAGGCGCGGTTGCTTGTGGCAGAAGCAGGCACATCTGTTTCGAGCGTCTGTGTGGTTGGAAATTGCTCCAGGTGCAGCGATGCCCCAGCTCAATTTCTTGGAAGAAGGACCTCCATTTGGAAGCGCCTGTCAAATGTACCGGGTACACTTCATACAAATCGATCACCAAGCTGCCTGCTGGATCCCATGCTCTGCCATCTGAAGTCTGGTCCAGATTGGTTGAAGCGATCCTTAACTTTTGCCCGTAGCCTGGGCCAAACATGACTTGTGGGAAAAATCTCTTGGAGCCACTGCAAGTTTTGCCCCAATGCCAGTACAGACATGTTCGTGCATGTAGTAAGTTCATTCCATGAGACTGCCAGGAAGACGTCCAAGAGCCCGTGGAAGCAAAGCTTTACAGAGAGGTGGCAGAGTGCATAGGCTATTAAGACGATAGGCATGTAGGATGCCAGCTGTACTAACATGATATCAATGTATGCAGTGTGCTGCATCGACAGGCTCTCATGGACCTTCACCTCGCTTAGCTCGCCGAAAAGAAATCAGCAAGTCTCCTTATCTCCCTCTCTCTGTTGCCTCTCGCTCTCTCTCGCTCCTTGCTGGACAGCTGGTTGTGAACTGTCTCTGTTTTTGTGGTGATCTCGAAGGATCACCAGATGTAGAATGACATCGGGAGGATTCGTTGCAGCCGAACCACGCGAGACCCATCGGCATATGCAGTAAGCTCCAAGCCACCTCACTACAGTGAGCGACTGCAGGAAGTACCGTATCCGTAGTTCAGAGTGTGAGTCTGAAGACCACTTCACCCGCGCCATGGTGGGACTGGTGGGTCGTCAAAGATTGCGAGCCACAAGAGGCCAAGACATGCACGGGTAGGCCTCCAACATTACTTGGCGGCAGTGCCTAGATGTGCCCAGGTGCCCTGGTGCTACTGGGCTGTGCACTCTTCGCTTGTCGGGCCTGCGGTTTTACCCTCACCGGAGGTTTGGCGGTGTTTTGGTGTGTTGCGTTTAGTGCCGTGCACGCAGCGGTGAAGCGTAGATGCTGAGCAGGCTCTGCAGCCGTTGGCGCGCCCAACTCGAGATCGGTCCTTTTCCTAGCATCTACTCTCCCTGCTGCTGCCGAGTGCTGCTGCCGCGTGCTGCTGCCGCGTGCTGCTGCGTGCAGCGGATTTTGGGAGGCTTTGGGCGCGCCAAAGCCCTCGCAGCCTTCGTCGCGGATTTCCCGAAGATATTGGCAGTCCCGCGGCCCGAAGCCGGAAGAGGAGAAAAGCGCCCGTCGCTTCGGTCAGAAGATTGCGCTGGCCTTTGCTGCTCGTGCAGCTGTGCAGGAGACAGTGGAAGGAACTGTGATTCCAGGCGGGACGAATCAACTGAGAGAAGTGGACGAAGCAAAAACGAAGCAGAAACTACCGCCCAACTCCTAAGTCCTAAGGTCTTATCCTCACTGCTCTCATCACCTACCTTGGAGTGGTGCCACTGACATTCGGGGAAGCTTGCCCATCAATGGCTTCGCAGTCTCTCCCTAAAGGCGGAAAGTTTCTCTGCTCAGGTAACGCCCGAGTTTCTGGTCTCCTTAGTCATTATTGCCATCCTGGGCATCTTTGCCAACACATGGGCGCTGGCGGTCAACATGAACCTGTCGCCAGCTTACGGCAGCTTTTTTCCCGAGGTGTCACACGACACAAGAACGAAAGCGCAGGTACTCGTAGAACTGTCTTGTTTTGCCTGTGTCTTGCGGGCTTTTGGGATTCTGGCTGCAAAGGCCGACGTGGATAGATTTTCAAGTCCAAAAGCAGCGACAAGAGCAGAAAGCCAAGGCCAGATAGTGCCGTGCAGCTCTGCTTGGGTCGGTGGTCGGACTCCCGTTACTGTTCTCCTCCCTGATGCAGCGGTACCAGGGTACCGAAGGACTTGCACAGCTGGCTTACTGGTTACTGTATAGCCAGGAACAAGCAGCTAGGAATCGAGACCGGGGCACCTGTCGCACCCCGTCATCTCCCTCTTTTCGGCATGCCGACCCGAAGACTGCATCAGCGCATCTTGCAGTATCGTCAGTGTGTCACCCACGATGCTGAAAATTTCGTCCTTGTCGTACAGACTTGCTTTCCGGTATGGTAGGTGCCCAATGTCGGTGGCCAGGGACATAATATTATCTGCGCCCGTCCAGTCAGTCAGTGAAGGTGATTGGTATCATGTCGTAAATGGCAGGTAAGGTCGGTCTTCGAGGGCCGACATGTCATGTCGGCTGGTCTGACCTTTCTCGTGGTCGTCTTGGAATTTCTGCAGTTTCTGAGAATGTTGGAATCCAGCAGATGAAGCGCACATCGGTCAGGAAAGTCCGTGGCCATGGTCCAGGTAACCTGGCGGAGTCCTGAGATGCAGAAGTTCTGTGCGACCTTAGACGTGCAAAACGCGGTAACAGACTGCAGAGATTAGCACATGCCGGATCGCATGGCGACACCTTTTTTCAATCCGATCGATTGTCTCAAAGAAGCCGCTTTGTCGAAGAGTGCTGACACCAGGCATGCTTGTGCTCGTCTTTGCGGTGCAGCAGGGAGTTGAACCTGAGTCACATGTCGCAGTGTTCTGAAGACTGCAGCGTATGTCCGTCCGACAGTGCAGTATTGACTCGCGCCGCTCTCTGCAGCATCTTTCTAGCCATTGTCAAATGTCAGGACCAAACACGAGGTTGTGTTTGTGCCAGCAGGACTGTGTGGATATCCTGACGGTGACTGCGAAAACTTTTGGTCAACCTTTTCCAAGATTATTTGCGACTGTGGCAGTTCGTAGCCGCGATTAGAACTGAAAACTCTCAAGCCTCAAGCTGCACGTCATCACCGCTGCAAGTACTTCTCAGCATTTGTCACGACCGTTGACACAGTGTCAACTCAACAGAACCACCGACAAGAAACTATTTCAGCAGGCACGCGCACCGTGCTGCCGAGGGAAGGCGAGTCAGGAGCCTGAAGGAACCTTGGACTGGTGATTTGGGAACCGCTGGACCATGGGCTCAAAAGTCGCGTGCTCTTAGCGCCAGCATCTGTGTGAGAGTGGCGCCGCGTGGTCGGTGACTCAGCAATACTCAGCACTTCCAGAAGGTGCGGTGGAGATTCACTTCGGAGAGTTTCTGTTCCGTCTTTCAGCCTATTGCCGACCAGCTTGCATGGCTCAGGTCTTAGCCGGAGGGGCAGAGTGGAAGCTTGGGCGTATGGCGGAACCTATGAGGGTCGGACTCTGCAGTGACGCTCACGATTCGTACTTGCTTCCAGTAGCCTCTCAGATGTGAGGAAGCTGTCCCCTTGCCAGGCTTCCTTTCTTCAAACGGTCCCCGACAGTCTTAAAGTCGGTGCGCGGGTCGAGGCTTGTCTGGGTGCAATGGTGCAATACCCACAGGGCAATCCCTGGCAATGATCTGCAAGTGTCGAACCCTTTGCGATCTCCTAGTTCGCAGCAGAAGCCTACGACACTGCATTGGTGATCGCAAGGCGCTCGGACAATTCACGGGAACCGTGAAGTTTGTCGGGCACCTTGGTGGCATAAAGCCCAGCCACGGGAACCAAAGCAGTTTGTCAATGTCGCCGGGTCTCGAAGATGTGCAGACGAAAGACAACAGGGGAAAGAAGTTACTGCACAGGGTTGTGCTAGTTCTGTCACGAGGACGACGCAGTTTGCAGCTGGTCCGTGGATTGGTGTCGAGCTGGACGTCGAACAATTTAGTGAGGGTTTCTTGGTGCATGCAGACTACTGCCCGTCGGCTATCAATATGGCATGGCATGCTTGCAGGACACACCGGATGGCAAGAATGATGGCACGATTCAGGGTGAAAGGCTCGTGGGCCGTTAAGGGCGAACATGTTTGCTTCTTTTGACACTTTGCCAGGTACTTTGACTGCAAAGCTGGGCACGGTATATTTGCGCGGCCGGCTGCAGTCAGGAGCGCCTTTGTGATTGCACCAATCGGGGCAGCACTTGATCACCCGGGGTCCGTTATCATTTGCCATGATAATCGAAGGCTTGTTCCAAGTTCTCTTGGTGCTCAAATCTGCCCCGAGAGAAAGCGACGAAACGAGTGCGAGCAAGCAGCGGGGAAGCCCTCGGCAGCCCCCAGATGAAGTCAGGTTTTCCAAATAGTCCGTTTCGAGAGATAGGCGGAGAATTCTACCAGGGGCACACGTCGGCCACCCCGAAGAAGATCCCTTCAGTTGTTTACCATGGTCGTTGTCGGTATCCTGGATCTCTCCTCTCCTCTCCCTTCGCAATTTCTTGTGCTCATGCTGGCTATGCCGGTAGCGACTTGGTGCTCCTCCTATCGACCTTGACACTGTTCGCTCAGTCCGGACGGATGCTCAAGTCTGCATTTGTGGGAGCTCGCGGTGAAATTGGTGGGGAAGCACCTGATGCTATTCCAGCCTCCCCAATCCATTGAAAATGATAGATGGGACGCGTCCCGCACGGACGACCACAGGTCGCATCCGGTCGCTCTAGCTCTGGCAAACAAAGCAAAGCCACAGACAGGGAGAAAGAGACATGTGGCCAGGAGCTTGGACATACTTGTCCCACCCTCAGTTGGAGACACAGAAGCAAAGTTAAGCACATCTTTGCTGGCAAGAATGCTTTGGGTTGAACCAAATTGCTTAGTCCATGCCCGGGCAAGTTCCAGAATCGTCGCCAGCGTCAACACCGAGTGCCGGAATCTCAGAGCATCGCCGCTTTGCCGCTTGCCGTGCTGAACTGGCTACACATGGTGCCATAGAGGCTGCAGCCGGACAGTTGCCGACTTAGTCTGTGGACGCTTGCCATGAGCGAATCGTCGCGAGATTTCTTTGGTTGCAAGGCAGTCTCCAGACTCCAGTCCCGGTGCAGTGTGGTCCCGACGGCAGAGCATAGACCTAGATTTGAGGTGGGAGCCGGCGCTGGAGGGGATTGTGAGCTACCCTTGGATTCCTGGAAAGTGGCAGGAGTGACATCTGCGTCGAAGACCGTGTTGACTTAACTGGAGTATTGAGCGGGCAGCTTACATAGGCTGCAAGGCTCCACGAAGGAGAGCTGGGTTTTCCTACACACTGACTGGATGCCTGGATGCCGCCCCGCATACATAAGGCGGCTGTGCAGATGAAGTGCATTCGCTGCACGAGGCCGCGGACGGAATTGGCCTGACGATAGAATGTCGTAGATTAAGAACCAGTGAAGCAAAAGCAAAGTCTAAGTCAGTAATGCCCAGAACCATCGGCATAAACGTGCAAGGGTAATCACGCTTACACGATGTCATTGCACGTGCACCAGCTGTGCTGAAGGCCGTCGACAAGCTCATTCAGGGCTCGGCATCCGCTTCGGCCCTGGAGATCAGCCCTAGCCACCGCCTAGCTACTCTCAGCCACACGGTGGGTCCTAGTGAGGTGCAGAAAGCCAAGCTCGAGCCTTAGAGCTGCATTCCGATGGAGCCGGCTGTGAGCTGCAGTGCTCCCAAGGTCCGGGAGCGGGGACGAGGCAACGAACTGAAGTTCCTACGCCGACAGGAGAAACAAATTGCAGTGAAGGCACTGGACAAGCTCACGCCGGAGGAAGAGGTGGGCCTGTCTCGTAGTTGTCTCGTAGTTCTGCCGCAATTTGCGCCTGGTCATGTGGTTGAACCATGCCAGGAGTGGCTGAACAAGGCAGCAGAAAGCTTAGCGAGGCAGAGAAAGACACAGACAAACGCGTCAAACGTGTCACACATCGAATTGGGATCCCTATGATCGGTTTTGGCAGGAGCTTCGAGGAGACGGATTGGGATTCCCGGTGCTCCATGGTCGTTCCAGACCTTGAACAAGAGAGCACGTGGTGACAGCCGTGTGCGCAGGAGAAGCTCACTTCAGTGTTGGACGAGAAGCTGATGGCTCTTCCGGCAGTCGCCTTTTGAGTGCCTGCCTGCGACCGAACGAACCCGGAGCTCAGTGGCTGTGCGGCTGAGGCGGCGGCGGTCGCGCAATAGCTCCACGTGGGGTGGGGCCCCAACTGCAGTCGACGAGACTGCTCTGATAATGTGGTGGATGCCCCAAGTCAGGGCATTCTTGATAGTGGGCCACGCGCAGAACAGAACTCAGAAACTCCCGTCAGAAAGTGAATCCAATCATTTCGCAGAATCTGTTTTGCGGTCCTGCTCATACAAGCTTATTTGCACAAAATATGATGGCCTTACGCGCAGCTGACAACCTCAGTCGATTGCATGCGAGGAACAAGGATTCTATAAGATAGCCAGACCAGGTGTGTCAGCCAGCAGCAGGTGTGCAGGGCGCAAGAGGTTGCGCTTTGTCGCATCCCACATCATCCCACTGTATCCCACGGTCTGACATACGACCTGCAAAAGTGGTCTCAGCAAAGTGAGCAACATCTTGCGAGGTGCACATAAGTAGCAAGGCGCTCGTAGCGGGCGAATGAGGGCAAAAACCTCTCAGCGCCATTTTCCGGGGAAGACCGGGAGTCAGTGAATGTGTCGTCTTCCCCCGAGGGAGAAGGCGGTAGCCGTCGTAGCCGCCAGACCTGCGGTGAAGAGTTTGGAAGCCTTGGTGAAGCCACAGGCTTTGTTGATCTGATTGGTCTGATCTCGTGTCAAGACTGCGAAAATCAGGTCGCAATGCCCATGTTCGGTCGAACCGCGTTTACGTCGCTGAGCTGCGCTTGGCCATTCGATTCTATCTTTGGCTTGCAGCCTTAGGCCTTAGATGCCTTAGGCTAGGGCCAGTGCGACACATATGCGATGCTGCGTTGAGTGCACAGTCGAAACGCACTCGTTCCCTCATCGGTGTACCGATGCAGTAGCCGAGTAGCCTAGCAGAGCAGAATTTCAATTCGTATCAGTCTTGTTGCTGGCACACGTCTGCACTCGAGTGGTGCTTGTGCTCTTGTTTGGGAGGTCCAGTGATAGTAGAGTAGTAGCTGAAGAGCGCGCGATGCTGGGAGACGCCATGTTGCGGAAATGGCCGAGAATGGCCTTCTCAGAAGAATCTTCACAGCCGTGCAGAAGGCAGATGTGAAGATGATAGAGCGCACGTTGTGGATGCAAGAGACTGGATCAGAAATCATGTTGATACTGTCAGCAACGAAGGTGCCTGATGCCACGGCATTGCTATGGTACGACCCATCGAGCGGCGTGCACAGGGTGGCAGCCTCAAGTCGCAGCGACGCGATGCTGGCCCTGCATGAAGCTGATGCGAGTCGTCTAAACTGCGCACGAAGGCAAAACGCTACCAGAGCTACAAGGAGGTCTGGACGGTGGCATCGCAGGCCGCCGCGGTGCTCCGATCACTCTCGCACGAGACGGAGACCGAGAAGACCGCTTTGGCGGATGTCTCCGTGCGAGTCGGCCTTATGCTCGCAGGCCATCCGTAGACCGAACCGTCTCTCAGAGATCGCACCGAAGGAATGAGCGCTGCAAGACTTGCGCCACTCCGTGAGGCGGACCGGCTCTTCCGGTGCTCGAGCTCGCGGTGCTGCTGGCGGGCTTCGCTTTGGTGCCGCTGGATGCAGAAGAGCCACTGCCTCGTCTGCAGTTCATCATGGAGGCTCCTCGCAGGGCGCCGCAGGGCAGGGAAGCGCAACTGGTGTCCCGATGCGATCAGGATGCCGGACCGCTGCTTGCTTTAGTCGTGGCCGAGCCTCAAGTTGAGAAAGCCCAGATGCTGCTGCAGAATGGTTCTGGAGGTCGGAATCTAGCGAAAGCTTGAGTTCAAGAGGCAAAGAGTGCAGTGAGAGGAACAAAGCTTCTCCGAGATTCCGAGCTTTTGCGAAGCGAGGCGGGTGGGTGAGACCTTTGACTAATGTTTGGGTTTGCGTTGCTGTCGTCTTTGCCTGCAGCTTGCAGCCTTTCTCACCCGCACTCCATGTCCAGGTGGCTGAGGCATCTGACTGTCGACCGCCAGCTGACTTCGCTGAAGAGCAGATATCTCACATCTTCTTCACTTCGGGAAGTACTGGACGTCCTAAAGGTTGTATGTGCAGCTTCCACAACCTGGTCACATATTGCTTGGCGAAGAATACCATCCACCAGGCTGGTCGGATCGCAAACCCTCGCTGTCCATCTGTGTGTCCCCCCACGTTCATGCCGACCTCGATCTTCAGCAGCGCAAACGAAGCTGCCTGCATTCACAGTGCTCGCGTCCCGTGGCTGTGGCTGACATACTTCCTGCCTGCACCACGAGAAACCGGTAGTTGCAGTTAACCTTCATGAACAGATGTGATCTAAGAGGTCGTTCTTCTGACTAGGGAGTCCTGCCCCTACGGCTGATGCACTGTCGGCGAGAACATGCAGCTTTGCAGAGCTTGAGCATGAGGGAGTGTGGGCGGATGCAATAGCTTGAAACGTCTGAGAGAGTGATTGCCAGCATGTATGTATGTGTGATCGCAACTGCTGTGTGACTCTGTGTTACAGCTCGAGGACCCATGAGGACCCCCTGGCACGCTGAGACGCACATAACATGACAGCACGCAGTATGCTTCGTGCCCTGTGTCATTCTCCACAGCACCTGCCGGAAGATCAACAAAGGATTGTCTTGCCTGTGTGCCTGTCTTGTCTCTGTGCGTAGCCCCGGGCAGGTCGATAGTTCCAGCATCGTCTTGGTCGCCAGTGCGCACACCTTCGACCCGCTGCTCGACAGGCAATGCTCCGCCGCTCCTGACGACTTCAGTTGGTTTTTGGGTGTAGGCGAAGCACGGTGGGGACGAGTGGGGGTAACCCGGTAACCCCTCTTCCATGCAGCATCGGAAGTGCAGTCCACAACAGCACTCCCATGGCCGCTCAACATTGAGTCTACAGAGCGAGAGGAGGTTCGATAAGATCAGATCCGCAGGTGGTATTGTTGTTTAACAGCGATTGAAAGATCCGAGCCAAGGTCTCTGGGCGACTTCTTCGCCACGTGGCTGGCGGGGGCCACCGTGGCCTTGGCACCACGGGCGGTGCTTTCGGCAGCGCTCGGAAGCTGCCTGAGCAGCACCGAGGCGCGCCTTGGAAGTTGCGGTTGGGCCAGTCGTTTTTTGGATTTTGGTGCCAGAGGCGAGCCACCTTCAAACCACTCCTGGGCATTTTGCCACCATGGAGGCCTCGGTCTTCTGAGTTTGTGAGGGGCGATGGGCCCCGAGCATGCCAGGCGGGAGCTGCTCCTCACTTGCGAGTGGTCGCCTTAGGAGGAGTGGGCGCCCAACAGCCGACCGCGTGTGCCTCCATCAACAGCTGCACAGCGCTGGCCCCTGCAGGCGAGCTGATGCCGCAGCCCCTCCTTGCTTGGGCTGCTGACGTCCGTCAGCCTCTCAGAGATCGCTGCAGATCTTGATGTCACGGTATGCTCGTTGAAGGAACATACCCCCCGACTCAACGTCTCTGGTGTGTCTGTTCGAAAAGCGCGTGCTGAAGGGCGCATTCTTGCTTCATCAGCTGAGTATGCCACTCAGTGCGCACGTAAAGAGTCCTGAAGGTCTGCTCAACACATATGGTGTCACGGAGTGCACAGTTTATCAGGCCCAAGCCTCAGTTCCAAAGGGGGCCCAACTGTTGCGGCTTCTCGCAAACCTCGCAAAGCTGCATAGGCAGCCGCAGTGCTCTCGCCACAGAGCAGCCCTCGCTTGCTGGGGTCCCCGCTCCCGGGCACACGGCTGCTGCTCGCAGCTGGCAGAGGACAGGGGCTTCCTCTTCCCTCTCTCTGACTCCATCGACTCCATCTCCCACAAACCCCTACTTCAGGCGACGATCCGAAGACCTGCGTGGAGGCGGGACGGGCTGAGTTTGCATGCTTGGTCCATTTCTGAATCTCCAGGACAGCAGCAATGAACACGGCGAGCTGTGGATCGCTGGTCCACAGGTCGGCCTGGGATATGTGAGGCCAGGGCCAGGGGTCTTCACGGAAGCCAAGGAGGTGTTTGGAGCCTTTGCCAGGCGCCCGGATCTGACGTCGGAGCGGTTCCGCGACTTCCCGGGCCTTGGCCGCTGCTTCCGAAGTGCCACAGCTCAGTGGTTACGGGATGTTTCGGGGAATCGCCACGGAAGAGGGGCCAGAACGTGAGAGACGTGTGACAAGGTGGTGACCTGGCTGCAGCCCGAGGCGGCGCTGCGTTGTCGTGAACATGCCATCTCTCAGAACGACTGGGTGGCAAGCATGTGCGCTGTGCGAAACCGGCGCTCAGATGGGGGCTGGCAGCTGCTGGGACGCCGCGACGGTATGGTGCTCCTCAGCTGGCCAAGCAAGGTTCGAGGTCTGAAGGTCCACGGAGCTTCATGCGAGTCTCTCAGCTCCCAGGAAACTGCGCGGTCGCCGGGTGGAGCTGGGAGAGGTGGAGGAAGTGTTACTGGCAGCAGCGCAGCTTGTCGTCAGTTTTTGGGTACACTGCAGGACATTCCGATGCCTGCACCGAGCAAGGCCCGAGGTCATTTCCGCGGCGGCTGCTGTCCTGGCGCATCCGGGTCCTCGACTTGTTTTGTACTGTGTGCTGCAAGGACTGGTGTGTCCGGATACGAAAACCCGCGGTACCCCGAACTTATCGATGCTTTCCCCGTACCGAAAGAGCTTTGCAGCCGCGAGGACAGCAGCCGGCAGACTGCGAAGAAGTGTCCTGTGCACTGCTGCGACGTTTGGGCGAAGATCGTCTGCCACCTCACATGGTCCCAAGTGCTATAATTGCGGTGGCATCGCTCCCTATGACTGGTACCGGGAAGGCGAGAGAAGTTCAAAGAAGTACGAACATCAGAATCATCAGTGCCCCTGTGTAGCGCCAGGTCTCACGCAGAGACTTGGCACAAAGGGCCCTCCCCGAGGACCCAGAAGGTCAAGCAGACCTATCTGGGGCCGCAGGAAGCATAGCTGCCGCCTGGAGCGAGGCGCGGCAATCCAAGGTTAAACCCAGGGGCCCCTAGTATGGGCCCTTAACCCTGGGACCCTTATACACCTTATATATACCCTATATGTAGTTAGCAGAACCCTTGCCCATTTTTGGGTAATAATACCACCAGTCAACCCATTAGACGATTATTCCTATACTCCCCCCTACACCTCACCAACTATATCACTACTACTTC